ATCTATCCATTATCCATCATCCATCCATTATCCATCATTCATCCATCATCCATCCATCCATCACCCATTATCCATCTATCCATCCATTATCCATCTATCCATCCATCATCCATCATTCATCCATCATCCATCCATCCATCACCCATTATCCATCCATTATCTATCCATTATCCATCATTCATCTATCCATCATCCATCCATCCATCCGTCCATCCATCCATCATCCATCCATAACCCATTACCCATCCATCACCCATTATCCATCATCCATCCATCATCCAACCATCCATCCATCCATCCTGTCCACCAGTCCATCACAGGGACACAGAGACAAACAACCATTCTCTCTCTCTCTCTCACCTAGGGACAATTTAGAGTTACCAATCAGCCTAACATGCATGTTTTTGGTCTGTGGGAGGAAACCGGAGTACCTGGAGAAAACCCACGCATGCACGGAGAGAACATGTAAACTCCACCCAGAAAGGTCCCCTGGCTGGGATTCGATCCGGCAACCTTCTCTGTAAGAGTCAGCAGCTCTATCAACTGAGCCACCGTGCCGCTCTCTTCCTGCACATCCAGTGCTGGTCATCAGAGTCTGAACGAGGACCTGTCTCCTGCATGTTTCCAAACTATGATCCGACTTCATCTCAAACGTTCTGCAGAGTTTCCGTCCATCATGTTCAGGACTCGTTTCCCTGTCAGTGATGACTCTGACCAGTTTGTCCTTAGATTTTGTTTTGGGGTTGATGAACACATTCTGCACCATTAAACATTTGTTGCTGGGAGGCAGAAGCTTTCTGCTTCCTGGACGGGATGGCAGCAGGACGTTTCCGTTGGAGGATATTTTTGTCAGACAAACGTGGACCCTTCAGGCATCGGGACTCGAAAGTGAACCAGAGTCGTGGAGGTCCACGTTCATCTTCCTCACATCTTCACTGATTTCTTTTGATTTATTTCCACAAAGAAGTGACATGTTTGAGGTGTGTCTAAAGGTGTGCCTCCAATTAACTTGAACGTGATTAACTAACCAATCAGAAGCTTCCGAAGCCGTGCCATCATTTGATTTACACAGCGGTGCATAATCAACTGTGTGTGTGCAAACTTGTTACTTGTTGAAGAAAGTAATCTCGTTATTGCAGAATTTAATTGACAGAAATGATTTTGGGACTCGTGGCTGATGCGGAGCAGGAAGTCTGATTTATTGTCTGTGAGAACCAAGTCGTGTTTTTTCCACGGTGTAGGGAAACATCTGGTTTTCACTGAAGGTTGAGAAGGTTTTCATTTCCACAGCAGTTAAATCCTCATACCTGTATTTAGTTTGAGATAACCAGCACGTGTAACCAGAACCAGAACCTCACGGTTCTTCTAACAGGATGACTCCATGTTCAGCTTCTGGAACGCTCGTTCTCCTCGTGGTTTCTTCAGTACCATGTTCGACGATGTGTAAATAAATGTTTGATGTTTCTGTAAATTAATGCTCCTCTTAATTAATTAATTGATTAATTAATTAATCAGTCAATTAATCAATTAATGCTCCTGTTTTATGGATCCGAGGAGATCTTGAATCATTTTAAAGGAGCTGCAGCAAAAGACGCTCCAAACTTTTCTTTTCGTCTGCACTTTGAATTTCCTGCCTGAGTTTCTTTTGTTTGATGATAAAAGTCGTTTTATTAAGAATCTTCACGCCACGTTGGGAAGTGACGTCCAAGCACAATCAAGTCATGCAGAAACAACAGAACTTTAAACCCTGCCCTGAAGAAGAAGCACTTTACTTGAGGTTTCATTGATGAACTCGTTGCAGCTCTTTTCTGTTTTGTATTAAAAACCTGCATGAAACAGTCGATGCTGCGGACTCTTGAATTTTCTGCCACGTTTGTCTCCAAACATTTAAACGCGTCTGTTTCCATCTTCGTGAGCAGTTTGGGTTAAAATGACGCGCTCCTTGAAGGAATACAACAAAACGCTCACAGAGAACATGTTTGTGTTGGAGGACGACTTCCAACTAGGACCAAACCAGTGTCAGCTGGACTGGACTGGTTTTACATGTGTCCAATAATACTTCTCTGAGAATAATATTTACTTGATATCTGCGTCCATGAAGTTATTAAACAGCATGGGATATGTTTTCACTGATGACACACAGTTATATTTGTCCATTAAACCCAATGAATCCAATCAGCTACTTAGACTACCAGCATGTCTTAAAGACATAAAAACCTGGATGACCCTTAATTTTCTGCTTTTCAACTCGAACAAGAGGTTTTGGTTTTTGGACCTGAGCATGTTAGGAATAAATGTTTCATTCTTTCACTTCCTCTGGATGACATTAATCTGTTCCTCTCAAGCCCAGCCGGTCGGAGCCGCTTGTCCTGATCCTGGTTCTGCTAAAGGTTTCTTCCTCATGAGGGAGTTTTTCTTTCCACTGTCGCCTTCATGCTTGTTCAAGAGGAGAGTTCAGTGACGGAGTTAAACTCAAAGCTGCTCCTCTCTCCTCCGAGACTCACCTCCTCTGGATCTTCAGCTCTCTCCAGCACAAAGCCCAGGACCTCGTGTCTCCTCTCTGGCTTCACCTGCACGGCAGTAACAAGATAAAGATCAGTTTATCAACCGTCGCTGTTCAGCCATGAAGCTGCTGCAGCTCCAAGGAAGTCACATTTTGGCTGCGTCGTCTTCTCAGTCTAACTTGGGTCGGCCTCGACTGAACCTCCTTAAACTCACTGAGTCAGCACTTTTGTGTGCTCAGGTTGATTAGCCGTAAAATACTGGGATTGGTTGAACGTTATTAGTTTTGCAGTGATTATGTGGTTCATATTTAGCAAAAATGACCCAAACGCTCACGGGCTTCATCTTTCAGCTGTGCGTTCACATCTAAGCTCAGATCAGACCAGACTTGTCCCAGAAGTTAGTTTTTGTAGAACTCTGTGTTACTTTTTGTTTTCACATCTTCTGAGCAGCATCTCTCGTTTCCATAGCAACAATCTGCAAACGCTAAAACAACAAAGAGTTGATTGGAGGTGAAATGCAGGATGTGGCTCCTGACGGTGCTCAGAGTTCTGGTCTTCAGCTCTCTCTGGTGGCCGTCGTGGTGCCATGGCAGTCGGTCCGGTTCAAATCAGGACCGAGGCCTTTCCCTGCAGTTTTTCTGCTCATTCATGGCGATTCCAGTTTCCTCCAACAGTTCAAAGGATTTCTTAGAAAACGACTTTAGAAGCGTCTTGTCCACAAAGAAATGAAAGAACTGCTGATCCAAGTCGGCTCATTCAGCAGAACCACCTGAAGGTGCAGAACCACCTGAAGGTGCAGAACCCCCTGAAGGTGCAGAACCCCCTGAAGGTGCAGAACCACCTGAAGGTGCAGAACCACCTGAAGGTGCAGAACCACCGGGACTATTGAAAAGCTTTTAGTATAACAAGACACAGTTGATTCTCCGCTGTTCTTGTAGCAGCTTCGTTCTTTCTGCACTTGTTTCGTACAAAGACTTGAGAACACAAAGAAAACCTAAGAACTGTCCTGAACGTTCCCACACCAAGAACAACCTGTTGGACTCAGCTGATGGAGCAGTGGAGCCTCCTCTGGGTGTCACAGACATGAGGCACGCGATTCTGAGGACGACTTACAAACAAGTCACGTTACGGCAGCATAAAACCCTTTGAGTTTATTATAAACAACAAGAAACCACTGCAAAGGTTTGAAGATGATGAAATAACTTTAT